AGTAAATATTTTCTGATTTCACTTCTAGATTTTAGTCCCCAGAAAAGCCACTGTCATTAAGTTTTGGGGTAGATGGTTATACAGCAATAGGTTACTAGAACAGCTATAGCATATGAAAGGTGCTTGGAAAAGAATTTTTAATGAATTAATAAATGAAAGAATACATAATGATACACAACCTGGGGAAAGCCAGTGAACCTCAAAAACTGTATTTTTCTTTTTAGTTCCTTAGAGTGCCCACGAGGGCTCTTTAAAATGTTTTGAGGCCCCTGGTCTCCAGTTTTAGAGGTCCGTCTCTGTGTGAGACATTGATGAGATTTCATTTTCAATCCCTTGTGGGTCAGTTAGTTTCACACTGTTAGAGAAAACTGTTAGAGAGGTACCCACTCTACACAAATACACACCCTGGATCACACCAGGGTCACAGGGGTCCTGACAGAGGGTGACCTGCTATGGCTCAGCCTCAGGACAGTCCCTGCCCTCCACCCACCGCAGACTAGGTTCTGCACGGAGGGCCAGAGTGAGTGGCCACATGCTCCTGAGGCTTCGAGACAGCAGATCCTCTTTGGTTTGGGCACGGATTCAGGAGTGCTGGTGGTGAGTCAGGGGACACGGTACAGCCAGAGCCAACTGAAGTGGCGGGCTTCAGCCCAGCCTGGTAGACTGAGGGGCTGGTGAGCCGGGGGTCTCACCAGCTGAGGGTACAGATGTGGGGATGGACAGAAATTCTGGGTCCCTGTGGTGTGCCCAGCCTGGGCATGTAGCTTCAGAGTAAGTGACATAGGCCAGGGCAGCTTGGCAAACTCTGGAGCTATTAAAACCCTTTGTTGACACTCCAGCCCAGGGCTGGGTACGCACTCTGGCGCCCCACCAGGCATAGTCTTAAGAGCTGTCTGTGCTCCGCTGTCATCAGGCTGAGCTGGCTGCCAGCCTGCCTGGTCCTACTGGCCTGAAGCACAGTGGCTTAAGCATCCTGGCCGTTCCCTCCTCCCCTCCCCTTCCTGCTTGGGGGAGGGGCCTGATCTGTTTCCTTAGAGCCCTAAGGTAACTGATGTGGGGGAGGAAGATGACTCTGCTCTTTTCTTCTCCACAGTCCAAGCCCCTTCTTGGAGGGGCTGAATAGGGGGCCCTTCCTGAGAATATCCACAGCTTCATTTTCAGTTCTTTTGCCCAGAAGCTCTGGGGTTTCACTTCATTGCAATTAGACCTTAAAAGTCACAAAATAGAGTTCACCCAAACCGACAGATCCTGATTCAGTGAAACTTACTCTCCTCCCAAACTCACCCTTCCATGTGATAGTCAAGGTGTGCAGCCACTTCAGGCTGGGGTCCACCTTGTTGCTGGGGAGGCCCGCAGGGAATCCCTGGGAGGCGCTCGAAGAGGCTTCTCCCCATCAGGTGTGAGAACATCTCAGTACTTCAACAACTGGTACAGCCTCATGGTCAGCGTGGCCACTGCTGTCCTCCAGTTGCCTTGGGTTAGAAGGGGAAGCCACTTTCTCTCATTATCTTAGAATGTCTAACTGGAGGGGATCATACGGTTCATCTGTCCCCAAGGCTTCTGTTGTCAGATTCATTAAAGAAGCATTTCCCAAACAAGTGGTTTGTGCAAGACTTGTGTGCGGGGAGCTGGAGTAGAGAGACGTGTCAGGTGTCCCTGCCGTTGGGCAGTCTGTGATGACAGGAGGGAGAAGAGAGCAGATTAGAGAGATTCAGGAGGTAGGACAGACAGGGTTTGGGTGGCTGAGGAGTGGGGAGGAGTCTGGAAGAGGGCATCAGGCAACTCCAAGGGTTCTGACCAGGGTGACTGGGTGTGTACTGGTACTGAGCCATGGGCTACAAAGAGGTACTCTCAGAAGCCACAGTAAATGTACTAGAAATAGTGAATGTCCCTCCAGAATTGTAGGAACAGCGCCAAGAGAGGAGCCCCTTTTGTGTTCCTATAGAATGTCAAGTGCACCTCCACCAGCTCAGCAGCCAGCGTTGGAGGACGCGTCGATCTACTGCTCTTTTGTTGTGTCAGCCCCAGGCGCTGTGACAGCTTCTGGCAATTACTAATCTTGCAATCTTTCTTAGTTTGCCCTTCCTTCTGTATCAACATTTTTGTAAACAAATTCCCTTATTAAAGTCCCTCTGTTGAAATACATAGAGTTTTTCTGTTTACTTAACTAGACACTGGTTGATACGATTACATACCCACCAGCTTGGCAAAAGTTTAAAAGTCTGATTACACCAAGTACTGGGTAGGTTGTGGAGCAACTGAAATTGTTGGTGGGGGGTGTGAATTGAGGCATTTCGAAAAACAGTTTGGCTTCAACTAGTAAAGTTGAAGATTGATACTCTCTGACCCAACGGTTTCACTTTAAGGTATAACATCCAGAGAAACTGGTGCACACATGCATCAAGATATATATGCAAATAGTATTGCTTGTCAAGGCCAAGAGCTGAATGATCTAAATGTCCAAAAACAAAGATGAATAAATAAAGTGTGGTATATGAATCTGATGGACTACAATACAGCAATGACAGAAAAAGAGTGAGTGCTATGCATATTACCATAGATGAATGTTACAAACATAATGGTGAGTGAAAGGAGCAAGACACAAAAGAGAAGGGGATGACAGGGTAATATACTTTATAAGATGTTCAAAAAGAAGAAAACTATAAAGTACATTGGAGTAGGCAGAAAAACAGTCTCCCAAAGATATTCACATCCTAATACCTGGAACCTATGAATGTCTTACTTTACATGGCAAAAGAGACCTTGCAGATGTGATTAATATGAGGACCTTGAGATGGGGAGATTAATGTGGATTATCCAAGTGGGCTCAAGGTAACCATCAAGGTCCTTAAAAGCAGAAGAGGGAGGCAGAAGTGAAAAGTCAGAGAGGAACATGTGATTACAGTAGAAAGGCACAGAGATGGGCAGTGTTGCTGGCTTAGAAGATGAAGGAATGGGTCATGAGCCAAGGAACATGGGCAGCTTTTAGAAGCTGGAAAGGCTGAGAAGTGCATTCTCTAGGGCCTCCAGAAAGAAACACAGCTCTGTGGACACATTGATTTTTTAGCTCAGTAAGATCTGTCAGGTTTCTGACCTACAGAACTGTGAGATAATACATTTGTGGTTTTAAGCCACTAAGTTTGTTTCAGCAATGATAGAAAACTAATGCATATATATTGTTCAGTCTTTTTTTCTGTTTTTCAGGTTGGATAATTTTTTATTGATCTGTCTTCAGGTTCTTTGATTCTCTCTTCTATCAGCATTCTATATTAGCCACTATCATTATCCTCAAGCTCCAGGGGAGGGCTTGGGGAGAGGGACAGGAGTGTGGAGGGCTGACAATTTGTCAGTGTAATTATTGCCAGAGTCAGACAGATGAGCCCAGGACCCAGATCTTCCCTGAGTCATGAGAAGAGCACAGAACAGGGAGTCCAACCGCGTTGAGTTCTTCTGACTCCAAGTCATGTGTGGGACACATTTTCCCGCTGTAAAATGAAGCGGTGTATGTTCTCAGAGGCTTCTCATAGTTCTCATGTGTTAGCACCCCCCAGTCAGGTTCAGGGTACGTATATCCTTAGCCTGAATCTTGCATCCTGCCCCTCAGGGTCTCCACAGTAAAATGGGTTGAGTTCATGGTTTGTTAAGCAACTGGAGCAACACAGACTAGAGCCCAGCAACTCCTGCCATGTAAGAAGAAGTGGGGTTTTTCCTTTCTTTTTGCTCAGTGATTGTGATAAGGGTCAACTCGGCCTACGCTACTTTATTTACTCAACTTCTCACCAAAATGTCTTCTCAGGGAATTATTATGGCACTACATTCAGTACCACTGGGAAATGCTCTGGGGACTGCTGTTTAACATCTCTGTTGTCAGTTTCCAGTTTCTTCACAGTTGTATTTCTAGCCTGAAACTACATCTGGTACATAGCAGGTGCTCAGTAAATGTTTGTCAAATGAATAAATGCATGAAATCTCTGAAATGTCATTCTTTTCACTCTCCCATGCCTTGGCATATGTTATTACTTCAGTCTAGAAGCTCCTGCTCATTGCAGTGGTTACCTTTGGAGGTGTGCCTAACTCGCAATAGTTCTCCTTTAGGGAGATCTGTCCCCCTCCCATCCATATAGTCACCAGGGTGGGTCCTGGGCAGCCATGTTCATATCCTGGACTCTGTCCCTAGGCCATAACCAATTACTGGGGTGGGGACCTGATCCAAGTTGGGCCAAGGTTTCTGCCCTGAAAATTTGGAATTGGGTTTGATATTCCAGCCTTACTATGGGCTTGTCTTCAGAATGGAACACATACATTTTTAAATTAGGAGCTGAATGACCATTATCTACCCCTGCAACCTAAGTGGCAGAAAAAAAAAATCAGATGTGCAGAGAGCAAAGGCGAATGAAACAGGGTGCCCTCAAGGAATGGAGTGAGTGCTGTGGTGTGCCACTCAGGATCCTCGTAGGTCTGAGGTGCCATTCCTCCAGCCACTGGTGAATGTTGGCAGTGACAGCTCACAGCTGAGTTCTTCCCCGAGACTTGCCCTTTACTGAAGGGACCAGCCATACTCAAGGATATGACCTCCCCAGGGCAGTCCACCATCAACGACCAGTCCATGCAGGGGTACAAAGGGCCGGCACCCCCTACCTTGATTCAGAACAACTCTGAAGGACCATCCCTGTTCCTGAGCTCCCTCTGGAATTGGATAAGAGTTCTAGCTGCATCCAAGTTCGACTTCTGCCCGGTGCAGCTTCTCTGATTTGCTCAAAGGCTGGTTCCTGAGAAGCTCTGCTCAATAAGCTTTCTGCAGGCACAAATAAGAGACTCCAGCTCTGTTTTCCCAGGCACCCAGCCTAAGACAAAAGGCTTACAGTTCAAAGGGACTGTTGGCATAACAACTGATGGTTGCTATGACAATGCAGCAGTTCCTCCCAATAAGCATCTCCGCTTCCTTGCTGGCCCTAGAGCTGGACCTCCCTAAATTAATGTTTTCTACAGAAAACGTGGTTTTCAGGAGGTTGGGGTGGTAATCATTTTGGCCTCCAACATAGCAGGGCAGGCACGAGGCAAGTTGGCGAGGGAGGTTAAAGTCTGGCCTTTGCACGTCGTCCCTCTTCTGAATCTCCTTCACAAAGCCCATCAGGTTCCCCTCACTGGCCTGGGGCGGAGATGTGAGGTGCCCCACTCAGCCTCGCCATCACAGTGCCGGGGACCGGTCCTATCTCTGATCCCTGTGGTATGCGCCGCACATGCGCATTAACTCCCACCACGTGCGTTTTTACCACTGTGCTTCCCCTTCGCTCCCGTTCGCGGTCTCAAGGAATTTCCTCCGGTGAGACAGCAGCTCAGTCCCCATTTAGAATCTGGAAAAGTCTCCAGACCGAAGGCGGCATAGACGCTCGAGGCCCTCAAATGGGCTCCAGAAATAATTTTCATCCAAGCCCCTCGTGTCGCAACTGAAGAAACAAGGGAGTATGTTAACCAATCCCGCGGCCCGGGACCGCCGGGTGCGGAAATGTTGTCCACAGACTGAGGTTCGATTCAATTTGATTCTTCCACCGCCCACCACCAGCCGCCTCCCGCCCGTTGGATGGTTTCCAGGCGCGAATTTGCTCCCAGGTGCGCAAGGGGTGCGGGGCAGGCGGGGTGCCTGCGGTTACGGCGGGGAGGGGAGCCCGGCGCGCGGGGGACCGAGAATCCGCTCGGGGCTGGGGCCGGCGTGGGGGAGAGGGAGCGGGGGGAGACAGAGACCGAGTGTGTGTGCGGGGCTTCTCAACGCGTCCCCCAATCCCGCTCTCCCTCCTTCTACAGCCCCTTCGGGGGCGGGGCGCGTCTCCATCTTGGCCGCGACTTGTGCGACTCTTTTTTGGCCAAAGAGAGAGCTTCCTGAATTGAGGGCAGTGGGGCGGCAAGACCAAGGGAAGGCCGGGGCCGGCGTCTGTCGGAGCTTTTTATCCTTACCTGGGTGTTGAGTTCGGGGAAGACCCGCCGTCTGCAGACCCCGAATTCGGCGCCTCTAGAGCGACTCGGGCCGCGCAAGCAGCCGCCGGGTGAGAGGGCGCAGGTGGGCGCTGCGGTGTTTAGTGTGAACGGAAGCGGGAAGCGGGAAGACGCGGAGATCAGCCGCGCGGCGGCGGGACCCCCAGCCCGCAGCCGGCGAGCTCCTCGAGCTCCGGTCCGCCCCCAGGAAGCCCTGGCGCGCCCCCTGCCGGCGCCCCGCCTTGTTGCAGCGCCTGCCCGCCGTCCCGGAGCGTCCAGGGGCTTCCTCCCAAGGTCCGCCGCCGGTTCGCACTTCGGCTGCTGCTGTTTTAGCCGTAATTTAAAGAGAACGAGGAAGAAGGGCCTTTTTCCCTCGCTGTGTGAGAAAATGGAGAGGCATACACGTACACTTCGGTGGGATTCTCTAAGCGTTTCTGGTTCAACGACCGCTTCGGGGTCAAAGATTTCAAAGAACCTCTTCAGCCTTGAGCTTTTTGTTGAATAGTCACTGAAAAGTTAGGTTTGGCACTTTGGAATAGGGCTTCAGGTATGTACAGAAAACAGAATAGTGTTTTTGTTTGCTTTTACAAATTGTTGGTTCGTTTGTGGTTTGATTCTTTGAACCTCTGCTTCTTACACTGCGGGGAAGACCTTCCGGGGTCAACTCAGGACCCGTGTTGGAGATACTTTTGATTCACCAGGCAGGAATTGTAAGGATGGTCAGTTTGTTTTAGGCTGAATTGATGGCACCAGGATCATCCTAGGATCTCTGACTATTTTAGAATTATTTCCAGTTTGGATGAACTGTTGATAGAGTAAAGTTTATCAAAGTAATGTTGGATGGAAAGGGACTTCTGAATGTAATCCATTTAGGGATAAGACCCACTTTATTCACATCATTTAGGAGAAGATACTTATTGGTTGATCGATACAGGGCTAGAAAGAAATATATTTTACTTTCTTCTTTGGTCTCATAATGTTTAGTCTTAAATTCTCACTTAAACCCTTTCTGTTACACTTTTAGAACACCATCGCTTGTTGCTTTTGGAAATGGAAGACAATTTGTCATCAACTTCTACATGATAAATTTTCAAATAATTGAAGACAATTATGAATTAAATCTGTTTCAACCTTTCCTCTAGGTTAAATAATAAAAATCTTTAGCCTATCTTCATATGATGTATTTTCTGTCTCTTCTCTCTCTATTTAGCTTTTTTCATCCATCTTCAAACATGAAACTGAGAATACAATAATATATAATAATTATTATGATAATAATGCTGATAAAGAATATGTAACTTAAGCATCCCAAATGCTGTCTTTATACAGAGCAACTGTCTTCACATCCTTGGATACAGTAGGAGACCAGCCTATATCTGAGGCATTCACAGTCCTAAGTTTTAGACCAAGTATATGTGAAAATATTCACCCCAACTACTCCCACCACCCACTACTCTAACCCCCATCTTCAACCGGAAAATAGATTGGATATTGTTTATATAGCTGTGTCCCAAAACTGTTTTCAGCTGAACATCTTCAGTTGAAATAAAACTTTACTTCCTAACTTAGGATTTTACTAGGACAGTGAGGCAAATACTGTTGGCTTTACCCAAAGAAGTCTTAGCTTTATGCTTTAGGTACGTAGTTGGAGAGTAACTAACGCTTATAAAACACACACACACACATCATGCCCTTTCATCTGTTTGGCTCACCCTGGTGGGTTTTTAGTTTACTACTGATTCATGGGGGAACACACACCTACCTACTCAGTGTCTTAAATTTTCCTTGAGCGCTTTGCACTTCCCTTTGCCTCTAATCAATTGCTATCGGTTGAGACAGCACCAAAGAAGAACGTCTGGACATCTACCCTTTACCCTAGAAAGTCTTGCAGTTGGGGAATCCTGGAAGCAAACATGAAAAAAAAAAAAGTCAAAGTATTTAACCCAGCAAATGCCACCTCCCCCTCTCCTACCTTATTCTAGATGTTTCATTGTCAAGGCACATAAGAAACTTTCTTGATACGCTGGTGCTTGTCACCCAAGGGTAAAATTTTGTCCTATGCAGTCAAAAAAGAAAGCAAATCCATCCAGTTTACCGTTATGGAAGTGCCAGGTGGATAGGAAAGAAGAACAGTTTCTCTTGCCCATAGTATTTGATGACAAAACATTTAGATAGGAAAATAGAAAAAGCATAAGAAACTGCTTCCTGAACATCTGAAGCTGTAACCCTGTCCCTAACTCAGCGCCCTGGTTGTTTTCATCACCTATCTCAGTTTGCAGCTATTTTCTCTTTGTCTCTGGTCTGCTTTGGCCCGCAGTCTATTTGCTCCCTGGGGCAGTCAGTGCCGCAGCTTCAGTCCTGAGCCTGGTACAGAGCTGGTTCCCAGCAAACATGTGTCGAAGGCAGTGCCCTCTCAGAAGCTGTGTGCAGGGCAGGATCAGTTCTCATTTGGTTTTCTGGCAGTCTCTGTACCGTGGGGTCCCTCTTCCACGGATTTCCTCCAATTCCCATAGGGATTGAGTCAGTCATCTCCAGTCCACATGGACTCTACATTATGTCGTGTATCTGAACTGTAGTTTTTTGCAAGCCACCAAATCCCGCCCAAGAATGTTCTGACGTCAAGTATGAAGTGAGAAGTGGCAGCAATAAGGGACAAACCGGACCTCAGCTGGGCTCTGCCACGTACTAGCTGGGTCACTCTGGACCGAGCACCATGTCCTGATTTATGGTGGGGCAGAATAGTCCTTCCCTCATCAGGAATGATGAGGCATGTGGAGATTAAGTGCGATCATAATGGCTAACATTTATTGAGCACTTTCTATGCCCAACACGGGTCTTAGAACTTTGTGTATTGAATCATTTAATCCATGAGATAATACCAGTAGGGTGCCTGGCTCAGAGGCCTGCACCAGATAACGGTAGCTAAAAATAGCTTTCAAAATTATTCAATGAGAAAAGAGACTATAGATAGAAAACTTCTTACTGCCACTTTAGCCTATTGAAAATGCAATTTATCTACACAGTCAAAATGTTCCTGTTTTACTACATGGGAGAAAACTGATATAAAACGTTCAAAGGTTGCATTTTAACTGCTTCTTAAGCTTCTTGGTGTGATGTATTTTAAGTTTAAGAATATGTCAAGTTCTTATTGTAAGCTGCATACATTTCATTTGAATGTTTATATTTTGGCATTATTGATTTATAGTGTACAAGAATTTTTTAAATTCAGTTAAGTGCTTAAAACTTATTGTAGGATTAAAGAAAATAATTAAATTTATTTATTTATTTTCATATAAAATAATTTTATAATATTTACAATATTTAGTGCAGTTTTGATAGAGTATGTGCTCAGTGACAGCTTAGCTGGACTCCTAAAATAAATAGTCAAAATAGAAATGTCCATGAGACAGAAATTAACACAACATTGTAAACTGACTATTTACTTTAATATAGATGAATAAATAAATACTTCCATTAAAAAAGTGTCCATGAGCGATAGAACTTATTTTTAAATATCCTTGAATTAATTAGGACCATTAAGTACAAAGGTGAAACATGAAATGAGGGACACCAGCTTGCTTGTTCCATAGAATGTTCTGAAAGAAGTTGTGTCTGATTGCTTGTAAAGGTGGAACTGTACACCTGCACAGCTGGGAAGAAATCTGCTGCCTCTGTGGCCACCAGACTCCAGATGCAAGCCTCCTTCTTGGGAAAGTTTGTGTATTTAGTCTTGGTATCTTCCAGGCTTTTTGTGTTTTATTACGTACACTTTGAAATGAGTAATCAGTAGTGCTTTGAAATATATGTTCCTCATAAGAACAGAGGGTGAGGACTGCAAGATTTTAAATTTTGCAAAGGCAAGAAGTCTCATGTCTATAACATAAATGTTAGTTTCTTTTGGTGGCTGGGGTGAGTTGGTTTTATGAGTACTTTACTTCTGCTAATTAGGAAATTTCATAATTAAAGATAAACCTAATTATGAGAAAAGACAACATGTTTATTTAAATGCCAAGTATATCCAGTTTCCATGAATTTGGGTTTTTGTTTTCCTCTCTTTTGGTAGAAAGATAAACTATGGGAATCTTAAATGAGAAGCACGTGAGAAAACCTTTGTGCATGTCACTCACTAGCTCCATGATCTTGAGCCAGCTACTCTACCTTTCTGTGTCTCTGGTTCTTGTCTGTAAAATGGGTCCAATAAAAGTAACACTCTGCAGGGGCCATGAGGATAGGATGAGTTAATCACACAAAGTGGGGAGAATCATGCCGGGCATTCAATGAATGTTACCTAAAATTATTCTGGTATTTATGCCTTGACTTTGAAAATCATGGCCAAGCATGTGTCCTCTACAACTGGCAGGCATGGAAGGGCACCTGGCCAGGCATGGTCCCGCCCACCTGCCCCAGGCCTCCCAGCCCACACCTTGCAGACTACACTCAACAGTGTATCTTGGTGATCACACGTCAAAGATAAAGCTGGACATTAGAAAACATTTTATTCAGTATCCACTGCGTCGAGGAAAGAGCTGAGCTCCACTCTGACTTGTGCACAAGTGAGTGAACAGGGAGAGGGAGCAAGTCAGAGGGTGGGTCAGTGTCAGTGCCATCAGGCCAGCCAGCCGAAAGTCATGGAAGTTAGG